ATTGAGATTTGCTAGTTAAATTTCTTTTTTTTATCGTGTTAAAAAATATTTACTTCATTTGATATGCAAGTAAATAAAGGCAGCGGAATTAAATAGACAATCAAGGAAACACAACATTAGCAACTAAGAACATGGTTAGGTCAATTAATCACATGGTTTTAAAATGTGAATTCTAAATATGGCAGATAAGGTTGATTAGGTTATTACTTACTGTAAGATTTTTAAACGTGGATTCTAGAGATGACAGGCTGAGGGGCAGATTAGGTTGATAGTCATAGTTTCAAAACAAGGTTTTATATGTTGATACTAAAGATGATAGGTCGGTAATCACAACAAAATCTTTAAATGTGAGTTATGATTATGAAGATAGTTGGGTTTTAAAAATGGCATATGAGGCTAATTGGTTAGGTAATCACAACAAAGTCTTTAACATGGATTATAAACATAGCTGTGCTCTAAAGGTGAGAGGTGGATTTGATTAGGTAGGTAGTCCCAACAGGGTTTTTAAACGTGAATTCTGCAACTGATAGGGGGCTGAATAGGTAAGTAAATCACAGTAAAGTTTACAAACGTAGATTATAAATATGATAGATGGGTTTAGTTATGTCAATTATTACACCATAGTCTGTAAACATGATACAAATGACAAATAGCGCAAATTAGGTTGCTAATCATGACAAATATCGCTAATTAGGTTGCGAATTATGTCAACAATTCAACGTAACAAGCATGAGTCGATTCCAAAAAGAATGTAAATATATGAAAAATAAGTCTTAATTTGCTCCTTTGTATGGTTGAAAAGATGGCTATATTGTTGATAACTTATAATACTCAAAAGGTAATTTATGATAAAATATCAAGATTTGCTAATAAAATTTCTTTTTTTTTTTAATAAGTAAAAAAATCTCTTTTATTTACAATGCAAGTAAATAAAGACAAAATAAGTAAATGAACTAGAAACATTACAGTAAGTCGTTAACAACTTAGCTGTAATCCCCCGTATTTTTAAATATTTTATAAATAAAATCTTAATTTATTTATAATATTTATTTGTATTTTCAGGAATTTATTTTAAAGGTTTCAAATAAATTATTATTTTTGGGTTGATAAAAGATTTTATTACAAAAGGATTTTTATGTGTCCATTCTACAATTTATGTCCATACAAATAAATACTAAACCATTTTTATTTATTTAATTGGCCCAATATTTTTATGAGGCCCAATTTTACTCTACTTACCCTATAACTCTCTTTCCTATATATGCCCCATGAATCCCCAAATTTTTCCCCACAAAAAAGGTCAGTATTATTTTATTTTCCCTTTTATTTTTCTTTCATTCCTTCCTTTTTCTTTTTTTCTTTTTCTTTTCTTTTCCTTTCTTTTTCTTTCTTTATTTTTCCTCCTTTCATATGTGAGCCACTGCTTACTTTCTCAATGCTGCCGCCCCTTGCTACTGTTCACTGCCGGCCGAATTCCGGCTGCCGTCGCTACCTCCATCGGCCGGCAACCCACCGGCCCACCTGACCTTCCTCTTTTTCCTTCTCCCTTGTTTTATTTACCTTGTATAAATTTTAATGTATTAGTTTTGGGTTTTGATTTTATAGTATAAAGATTATATTTTTAGTATCAAAATTTCATTTTTGATGATTTAAACTCATAATTTCATATTATATAATGGTTTTAATATTTCAAATTTTATGAATTATAAACCTAGGGTTTTAATTTATTAAAATTAGTATTTTAGGGTTCCAATGATCAATTAATTTGAAGCTTTTGTTCCTATTGTATTTCTAATCATTAATTAAGCATAAAAACATGTTTTTAAGGAAGTTTTAATGAGTTTTAAATCAAGTTATATTGCTGGCAATTAGTTTGGGTATTAATTTTTCATTGTTGGTTGTTTTCTAGGAGGTGATTATTACCTAGGAGACTTTTAATTGATTAAAAGTGGCACAAAGGATTATTTACATGAGGTACGTACATCTCTACTTTGTTGTAAATAGCGTCATGTTTAAGTACCAAAAGAAAAGAACTTAGTTTCATGTTTAGAGAACACTTGAAGAAATTGTTTGGTTAAACATTGAATTAATGCATGTGCTTATGTTTATGAGACATGTTTTGGTAAGAACTATGCTAATACTGTCTGTTTTAAAAGAACTAAAGTGGTAGTATTTATAATCCCCGAATTACATAGGTTAATCCGTCAAAAGGAAACGGATATCCAGCTAGGAGCGCCCGCTCCTGAAATCTGCACGCCCGCTCCTCTTGGCTTCAGATAGAAGCAGATTTGATGATGGCAGCGAGGAGCGCCCGCTCCTACAAGGGTGCGTGCCCGCTCCCCTGTTCTTCAATAGATGACAGATTCAAGTTGTTGGGGAGGAGCGCCCGCTCCAAGGAGGGTGCACGCCCGCTCCTCCCTGCTTCATGATTAAGGCAGATTCTAGCACAACATCTAGGAGCACCCGCTCCAGCTCGAGAGCACGCCCGCTCCTCACAGGGGCGGAGCACGCGCTCCTACGTAGTTGCGCGCCCGCTCCTTCTTTTCCAGAAGGTTGGCAGATTCTTGAGTCCTTGAAGGAGCGTCGGCTCTTGGGGAGGTGCAAACCCGCTCCACCAGGAGCGGCCCCTCCCTTCATCACTTTCTGCCTCTATTCTCAATCCATGAACTTCCTTGCTTTACCTCACTTCACCTATACCTGCAAATTAAGTATACAAACACACGAGGAGGGGGCAAAGCCAAAATGCAACATTTATATAAAAAGGGGTTAGAAAGAGGGGAAAACATTACAAAACTGGGTTAAAATCACCACAATAAGTGGTCAAATAAACCACTTATCAGTACTCAGCCTTGCTGATGGCGTGCTTTTGTGTGTTTTCCTTTGGTCATGGCCTTCGCCTTTCAATGACCCTGTGATGATCCAATTATTACACTTGTATTATTCGGGAGCAGTATTGCACAGGTTAGCTTGATGATGTGAAGTTCGGGGATTGGCAACGCATTGTTAAGGGATTAGTGTGATTGAGAGTACTCGTTCTTTGTGATGAACTTATTTATGTTTTGTTATTCATTCATGCTTTAGATTTTGAATATTGGTTTGATTTTAAATAAGGGCCTTTATGGTTCCAGTTTGTAAGCTTTAACTTATTGGTTTTTTAAACTATGTCATTTTAAGGCTTAAGTTTGGTTTTTCCGCTTCGATACTTTGATAAAGCCTGAACGTTTTAACACGTGGCGGTAACATGCCAATGGTTCTCCTATATTTTTATTTAAAGTAAGTGGTTTGGAAAGGGGAGAATTATTGGGGTGTTACAAAGTGGTATCTGGGAGCTTAGGTTAGATTTTAATTACCATTAAAGCCATTTTAAAGTTTTTAGGCGCCTAACGTTTTAAACCTAATGAGTTTTGTTAGAACTACTTAATTTAAAGTGTATTTTAATTTTCAAAAATTATTTATTTTAATAAATTTAATTCGGTATTTGCAATATATATATATATATATATATATATATATATATATATATATATACATATGTTTATATATTTTCGAGTTATTTAATTATTGTGAAATAAAATGAATTTAATCGTTTATTTTATTCTTAACTAGTGTGCCTATTTTTATTTTATCAGTGAGATTTGGGTAGTATTAGGAAGGGCGTATAGGATAGATTATTTCTTTCTATATGCATTGTAATTAATTCTTTTGTGCTTTTATTTTGTATGAAGTGATTATGCAAGTTATTTAATTGTATGTTTTATGTAATCGTGCAAAATTGAGTGTAATCACCTAGTATAACATTTAAGGTTTAAAGCATGTATTATGGAATGGTATGTGATGATTTGCTTATGTGAAGCATGTATTTATGTGACTAATAATATATGTTTATTTAATTATGTTATTTACTAAATGCTTGGATTTTGGTGGGGATTGAATCAAGGGAATTATTTTATTTAATTTTCTTGTGCGTAGGAATGATTAAAATTTAATAATCATTTCCCTTAAAAGTTACTTATTAGGGGCAATCATGTGGCCTTGTCCACCTTTCTACCTTAATATATTTTATGTTCATGGATGTGGTGTGTTGTGCAAGTAGAGTACTTTGTGTCGACGTTGGCCTAAGAGTGCATTATACTTCCAAGCAGAGAAGGAGGATGGCTAACAACGATGCTTTAGTTGATGCCATTAGGTTACTAGCTGAGAACTTGAACCAAAACCGCAATGATAATCCTTATCCCGCTGGTGAGATGTTTAAGAAGCTTGCTCGGGTCAAGCCACCATACTTTAACGGAGGTAGAGACCCAACTTTTCTGGAAAATTGGATTAGGGAGTTCGATAAGATCTTTGCTGCTTTGAATTGCCATGAGAATATGAGAGTGGACCAAGCTGCCATGTATTTAAAGGATGAGGAAAATATTTGGTGGAGGGATAATGGAAATGTGCTTCACGCTGAGGCTAATTTTGGTTGGGAGACTTTCAAAACCAAACTTAGAGAGAAGTTCTATCCACCATTCTTAAGGAAGCAAAAGGCTCAAGAGTTCATTAATCTACAAATGAAAAACATGTCGATTACTGAGTACTATAACAAGTTTATGAACTTATCGAGGTTTGCTCTTGAAGTAGTACCTACTGAGGAGTTGAAGGCTCAAAGATTTGAGCAAGGTTTGACTAAGCAGTTATAGAAGGACTTGGCTAGAAAGACCTTTAAGACTCTTGATAAGGTTTATGGGAGAGCAACGCATATGTACAGTCTGAATGTTAGGAGTGCGCCTGAGAGTGCGAGTTTTGGAGAAAAGTGAAAGGATTTTGGGGATTCGAGTAAGCAAAGTAACTTCAAGAAGCCAAGGAACGAGAACTTCCAGAATAGGAATTTTCAGAACAATGGAGGATCTTCTAGAACTACTGGCTAAGCTGAGAGGCATTACAACTGCAAGAGATGTGGCAAGGATCATCCTGGAAAGGATTGTGATGGGAACCTGGTTGTGTGTAGGTTCTATAACAAGATGGGTCATAGGGAGTTTGAGTGTTTCTCCAAACTGAAGCAACAAGGGAATGGGAACAAGTTTACTCCAACAAGCAATCAAGGAGGGAATTCGAATAATAAAGAGAATGCAAAGAATAGAAATGTTGGCAACAACAACTCTGGGAATAAAGGAAAGAATGTCACTCCAGGTCGTTTATCTGTAATGAGCAAGAAGGAAGCTGAAAGGTCTTCTGATGATGTCACTGGTAACTTTTCTATTCATTCTATTTCTGTTAAGGCTTTGTTTGATTATGGAGCCACCTATTCATTTATTTCTAGTTCTGTTGTGAAATGGTTAGAATTAGTTGAACATAACTCGATTGACTTGCCTATTAGTTTGCCTACTGGGGAAGTTGTGAGGTGCATCAAGATGCATATGGGTTTACCTTTGAGGATTGGAGAGACTGATTTTCCATTCAATTTTATAGAATTTGAGTTGGGTGACCTTGATGTTATCTTGGGAATGGATTGGTTGGCTACTTATAAAGCTAATATTGATTGTGAGATACAGAAGGTTTATTTAAGGAGTCCTTTGGGAAAAATTATGTCTTATAGACGTTTTGGGAAAAAGGTATTGGGATTATTTCCGCAATGAATTTGTCAAAACTTGTGAGTAAAGGGTATCCTTTGTTCTTTTGTTCTGTGCAAGACTTGAAAATGAGTAATAAGGTGAATGTGGAAGATGTGTCAATTGTGAATGAGTTTTTGGATGTATTTCTCGAAGAGATTTCCGGGATGCCACCAAAGAGGGAATTGGAAGTTACAATAGATTTGGTTCTGTAGACACCTGATTGTGTCTCCCCAAAAACCAAATCTAGTGATGAGTACCTTTCACGTCTTTGATTATCGAGCTAGGTGAAGAGTTGAAGAGTCTCGTGAAATTCCCTTTAGCCTTGACCATTTCTAACCTTTCCTAAAATGTTTTAATCCAAAATCATTTATTTTGTGCCTTTAAATACAAAATCATTTATTTCGTTTCCTTAAAGCCAAAATCATTCATTTTGTGTCTTCGAAAATCATTCATTTCGTGTCCTCTTTATAAAATCGTCCAAACAGTTTATTTTGGTCCATAATGAAGTTTGAAAAGAGCTTTCCAGCGATATATTATAAGCCCAAATCCGAGTTATAACGAAGAAGTTATGGCCAAAATACTAAACCGAGCCCAAACCGAGCTTTACCTGCGACTTAATGACCATGTGGAGGTCCATTAACCTTAACATCATTCTTAAACCAATTAGGATTTATTATGAGCTTCTAGAATCCTCCAGAAGGTTGTTTTCAATCCTAAATCCCTTAGGATTAATTATTAGCTTCTGAAATCCTCTAAAAGGTTCTAATTTATCCTGTTTTTTTAAAATATAAAGATTTAAGAATTTTATATCGAATAAACCACTTGTTTTTCAATGATTTAAACTGATGAAATTAGAATACGTACGGAAATTCAATTAACCCAATTTGATTGAAAGTCGGATTCCGTACGGATCCTATCTTCTAAAAGCATCGTTGAACGATAGAAATATCGCGCTGCGATAAGCCTATTGCGCGACGATAAATCCATCGCGCCGCGATAGATTCCTATTTTGCTCCGTGTCGGATTCTGACTCTTTTCAATCGTTCGACCCTCGTTTTTCCCTATAAATAAAGGTCGTTTCACCCCATTTTTAATCATCAACAAGCTCGATCACCAACAATCATCAACTAATCCCCTCTCTAAGCTAAAAGCTTTTCTCTCTCTCTTTCTTTCTAGCCTTAGCCTAAACACATCCTAACACCTTCTTGATATCATACACCATACTTCCTTCACGAGCTTCGAATACTCCAAGTCAATCTTGTAGTTGCCTTCGACCTCGATGTGAAAGGTTGATAGTTCTGAGGGTTTGGTCCCTAATCTATATTTCAATGATTATTTGATCTAATTACTTTGTTGATTTAATCTTTCTTGAAGTTACTAACGTGTTTATTATTTTGATAGAAAGAGATACGAGGCATCAAATCTAGTATTCGATTACTTAATTATTCTTTTGATAGAAATCATGCTTAGAATATTATATTAATTCCTAGTATCATGTTAGGATGTTGATTTTGATTCCTAATATCATGTTTAGGATGTTAATTAATATTTCTAATGTCATGCTTTCTAGTATCATGTTTAGGTTAATGCTTTGATCTTTGTTTTCAGTGACATTATGCTAGGATTTGTTATTAATCCGTTTAGTATCATGCCTAGGATCTTACTAATAATGATTTGAGGATATTATGATGATGATGATTTGTTGTGCCAATTATACATTGCTTGATTATTCATGATTTATTGTTATTGCTTGATCATGCCCTTTCTGCAGGTTTAAAGGGAATTTGCACTTGAAATCACGCCTAATAAGATAATTAATAATTTGATTTAGGCTTAATTTGATTTTAATTCAAGTCATCGCCAATAATAGATTTATTTGTGCATTAATAATCAACCAACGTAGATTAAACAGGTTTAGGGGCTAACTTGTTGTATGTATGTTGATCGAAAGGAGCACACAAATATCATAAGAATTATGCAGAGGCCGATTTACGGCGGGTTCAATCTCTTTTAGGTTGGATTTGTCCCATCATCCCCGAATATCCAGTCATGGTTCCGGACAACTATGGAGTTAGCGATCTCTGTGATCGTGAATGGGATGTAACCTTCACACCCCTAAACGGTTTACAAGTTCCTAAAACTTGTTGGCGACTCTTTTATCTCTAGCTTCTTTCCCTTTTGACGCCACCATGCTTAAATGCATGATCCCAGCGGGGCTCAAAGTTGATGTTTAAAATATTCCGTATATGAAACTGGAACGACACCGATTTCTAAGGCACCATATAGAATGGCACCTGCTGAGATGGGGGAGTTGAAAGTGCAATTGCAAGAATTGTTGAATAAAGGGTATATTAGGCCAAGTGCATCTCCTTGGGAAGCACCAGTTTTGTTTGTGAAAAAAGAAGGATGGGAGTATGAGGTTGTGCATTGATTATAGAGAATTGAATAATGTGACGATAAAGAATAAGTACCCACTGCCCATAATTGATGATTTGTTTGATCAATTGAAGGGAGCTAATGTATTTTCCAAGATTGATTTACGTTCGGGGTACCATCAACTTAGAGTTGCTGATAAGGACATACCTAAGACTGCTTTTAGGACTAGATATGGGCACTATGAGTTTATAATTATGTCTTTTGGGTTAACCAATGCACCTGCAATCTTTATGGATTTGATGAATCGAGTATTCCATGAGTATTTGGATAAGTTTGTGGTTGTTTTTGTTGATGATATCTTGGTATACTAGAAAAGTGAGGAAAAACATAATGAGCATTTGAGTACTGTGTTGAGAACTCTTAGAGATAACAAGTTATATGCTAAGTTTTCGAAGTGCGGATTTTGGTTAGAGAAGGTTGCATTTTTGGGACATTATGTGTCTAAAGAAGGTGTTTCTGTGGATCCAGCAAAGGTTCAAGCAGTGAGTGAGTGGCTTATGCCTAAGAATGTGTCTGACATAAGGAGTTTCTTGGGACTAGCTGACTATTATAGGAGGTTTGTGAAGGATTTTTCGAAGATTGCTAGACCCTTAACTACCTTGATGAAGAAGGAAAGTAAGTTTGAATGGGATGAGAAGTGTGAACAACCCTTTCAAACTCTTAAAGAGCGTTTAACCACCGCACCTGTTTTAGCCTTACCTGATGGGAGTGATGGGTTTGAAGTATATATTGATGCTTCGAAGAATGGATTAGGGTGTGTGTTGCAACAAAATGAGAAGGTGATAGCTTATGCTTCTCGTCAACTCAAATCTTATGAAGTTAATTACCCTACACATGATCTTGAGCTTGCGGCTATAGCATTTGCATTGAAGATTTGGAGGCATTATTTGTATGGAGTAAGGTGTAAGATCTTTACGGATCACAAGAGTCTTAAGTATATTTTCACTCAGAAAAATCTCAATATGTGACAGAGGCGTTGGTTGGAGTTGTTCAATGACTATAACGTAAACATACAGTACCATGAAGGGAAAGCAAATGTTGTTGCGGATGCCTTGAGTAGGAAATCAAGTCATGGTGTGAATGCTTTAATCGTGCCTGACGAGTTATGTGAAGATATGAAGCATTTGAACTTGGAGGTTGTGAACTATGGTGAAGTAGAAGCTAGGTTGAGTGCTCTTTCACTTGGTAGTTCATTGTTAGATGAAATAAAAGAGTCAGAAAGGTGATGAAGGAATCCAATTGATTAAGGAGAAAATAAGCCAAGGGAAGAATGTAGATTTCAAGATCCATGATGATGGAAGTTTGAGTTACAAAGAAAGGTTGTGTATACCAGAAAAGTGTGAGGATTTAAAGAGAAAAATCATGGAAGAAAGCTGTTTCGGGGTTTTCTGATGTCCTGCGGGAGAGTTACAATTCCGAGACTGGAACCGGACGCCTGTACCTGCAAAACAACGGAGACTCCTGTAGTGGTGGGAGCTCCGCCTCCAACGGTCAAGTTAGTACTTGATTAAGGAGTAATTACTGCGGAAATTAAAGTGATTGGGTCTCTCTAGGTGAGAGTGTTTAATGTGAGTTTTTAACGTAATCTGCTTTGTTAGCGTGATCAGCCTGTAACTCGTGTGTGTAATTAATGTCCTCTCCCTTAATGAGGATTAAGGGAGGTATTTATAACCTTGGGAAACGTGTCAATCCTAGGTTTAGGTTAACCTAGGGCTGATTGGGCTTCCCTCGGAAGTTGGGCCTGGGTGGCCGGTTTCTCCATTAGGCATGGAGTATGCCACGTGTCATGACATAATAGGTCCAAGGTGGACAAATAAGCGGGTGCCACGTGGCAAGCCCTGACAGTTCCAACTGAGGGACACTTGGCAGGACCTGATTGGCCCACGTGGCGCATTCCGATTGGTGGGAGCAAAATCCCCTAATCATTTGCCCCTCACAGGTGGCACGTGACTGGTCACATGTTACCTGTGACAGGTGCCGCACTGTAACAGGCGACGGCCTGCTACAGGTGTCACTCGGCGAAAGGCCGAGAGATTCTCCCGCCCAAATTTTGAATTCTGGAAGTGACCCTTCGCCTTCTCACTTCGCCTATATAAAGGAGTGTTGACTTCAGTCATTTTCACTTGAGAACTTTTGAGAGAACATTCGGACCCCTGAACTTGCTCTGACATTTTGGACCCTTTCTGCCTACCGCCTGTTTTGACAAGCCGACTGCAAAGGATTTTCAGAACTTCATCAACCGTCACTCGTTCAGGTAACTGTCGGTTCTCTTACTCTTAATTTTCTTTTTATTCTTTTTTGAAATGGCACCACGGAAGCACACGACACGACCTAGGTTAGTGATCAGTCGGTCACCGGGGACGGCTGAATCTAGGACTAGGAGTGTCGCCTGCCCTTTTCCGGACCCATCTTTGCCCTTTATACAAAGTCCGACTGTATCTGTGTCTATGCAGAGCAGGATGGCCAGAACAAAAAAGACTGCTAGGATCTCAAATTCAGACGGCTCCTCCCACAGGGTGCCGATTAGTGAAACATCTGACCAGGCGCCAGATGTGGAAGTAAAACAAAGCGGCCTGAAAGCCGGCAATTCTGAGGGAGGAGTCATAGTGACCCCTTCCCATTTTACAGTTAACAATTCTGCTCCTTTTCAAGGAGAGGAGGCGGGCCCCTCCGGGAGAGGGGAGGAGTCGTCCTCTTCGGACTCGTCAGAGGACGATTCCGAGTCTAGCTCTTCTGGCCATGCTTCTCTGGACACAGAAGAGAAAAACAGTCGCCT